AAAGACCAAAATCCTTTTTTAAATATGACAAGCATTCATTGCAATGCTTTATTAAAAAAAACTGTTTCGTGTTTCTAGGCATCATATCAAATAAAATTAATATCCACCTTAATATAGTATTTCACAACAATACAATTCGAACTTATTTATATAAATCTGGACTAGAGAGCTATATAGCATAAGAAAAGTCACTTCTATCAAATAAACAATGTTTAACTCGACTTAGGTAGTGCAAAATGAAATATAATTAGAATATAGAATAAAAACAGATCATGTGATCTGATGAATTACGTTTTGCCTTATTTGAGTCTGATAGATGAGAGCAAGTTTGGTACAGAGTTGGAAAAGCCTATAATATAGACTGTATTAAATCTATCATAAAGTTTGATAGGGAATCAATAATGTTTTGAGGCTGCTTTTCATGAAATGGCATCAGCTCTTTAATGCCCATAGAACAAACATTGAATCCAGAAACTTACGTAAATATTTTAGTCATCAATTTTATATCTTGGATTTATAACAGTCTAGGTACTATATTTTAGCAAGATGGTGTCACCTGTCATACTGCTTCTTACATAACTTAGTGGCTCAAATTATATGCAATTCAAGTTTTAGGTTGGGTCACCCAAAGTCTTGACCTCAATCCAATCGAAAATTTGTAAGATCACTTAAATCACCAAATTCAAAAAAAAAAGCCTTCACTAATATCTATACAAGAATTAATTGATACTGTGTAAAAAGAATGGGCAAAAATAAGCATAGAAACTATAAGGCACTTAATTTTGAGTTTATTTTGAAGGGTTCAAGCCGTTATTGCAACTAAAGATAAATATTCTAAATATTAATTTGCCATACTTAAAATTATATTAAAATAAACTATTAAGATAATAGTTTATTTTATTTTATGCTGATTGTAAATAAATAAATTAAATTAAATTAAATTAGAAAAAAAAATTATCAACTTATACAATAATTCCAGTAATTTATTGTAGGAGTATATATAATATCTGATGCTATAACTTGTGATGCACTGTTTCTTATAAGAAGTCAGTTTATATATTAATCCAGTAACATTGAGATTGTAATTCCAAAAAAGATGATATGGTGCAATAATTATCCATTTGATACTATTATAATTATTGACAAGCAAGAATATGTTATATATATTTGAAAATACAGGCTGTGCTATATTTTATTTTATTACCTTAGCAAAATTACCTTTCTATTATTAGTATAAAAAGATTTTAAAAATAAATATCAAACTAATACTAATGTCTTGTGCAACATGGCTTCTCAATAAATATTGTATATAAAAGTTGCATTCTACTTGACATTTATATTTTTAAATTTGGCAGCTTATATTAATTAATTCTGAACTGGGGTGTTTACTAAAAGGTTAAAAAAAACCATAAGCTTTATAATATAACCTGTTAATCCTTAAGAAGTGATATTCCACCTGGCTAAATATAATTCTTAGATTTGATAGCTCTAATCAATTAGTAGTCAAAAAACATATTGTATTATAATATTAATTTGAAACATTTACTAAAAAATACATATATGGATAGTCCAGTTGGAACCTTTTGCCATATTAACTATATAAACAAAAAGATATATCATAATAAATAACTTATATAAGTAGTTAATAATATTCTATTGTCTTTATACAAATTGAATCAATAAATTAGATAATTTAAACTAGTAATAGAACTTCCACTTTCTAAATAGATTTCTTAAAAATATATGATTCACTTTAAAAATAACTAGTGCATCATCAGATATTAAAAGTAGATAGGTTAGCATTTAGCTGTTACAATATAATAGAGAATGATTGATATATCAAAAATTGAAGTTATTTTAATAAAAACTTATATTAGATGTCATTCTATTATATAAAAAAAAACTATATACAAAAGGTTATTATAAAAATTTTTTCTTTGTTCTTTAAAAAAAGTATTATATTGATATCTATTGTAGATATTATAAGTTTATTAATAGGAATTGATATGTTTATGTCTTTGATAAAAGGAAAAATATTATTAGGAACCAGGAGAATTTTTGTATTTTTGATATAAATGTTGATTTAACTAAAGTGTCTTTAGGATTAGTTGTAGGTCTTAATCCTATTATTTTCTACTCACTCTAATTTTTTCAATCTGATGTCAATTAATTTTAATATAAATTAAATATTATTTCAAATTTCTGGATAGGATTAATTTTGAATAATTTTTTTTGTTTATTTTTTAATTTGTTATATTTATTTATATTGCTTTGTTGTTTAGTTTTTTGTTCTGATTTGAAGGTTTTTTTTTTGTAATTGAATTTGGAACCAGAACTTTCTATTATTAAATAATTTAGATAACTTTCTGTTAACTCATTTTTTTTATCTATATATTTTTCTTTTTTCTTAAATTGTTGTTTATAAACTTTAATATTGTTTTTAGTACTTTATTATGTTTTGCAACTAAAAAGTTTTATATGAAATATCAAGACTTTATCTAGATTATTTTGGTTTTCGAAGCTAATAATGACAAAGCTTCTTTTTTTTTCAGTTCTATTATTTGTTGGAATATATACTTTTTTAGCTTTAAGATATTTAATAGTGCTCATTATTTTTGTAACTAAGATTTTTTGCTAATTTCATAAAGTTTTGTTATAACTTGATTGTGAATTTCTAAGATTGCAAAATAATTTTCTAGTAGAACAATTTTTGTTATTGAAATACTTAGGGGTATAAACCAAACCAAGTTCAAGTTTGTTTTTGTTATATGAAAAGATATTATAATATTATTATAGTTGTTATTTTTTTTTATTTATTTTAATTAAGTCAAATTCTCTATATTTACTAATAATATATTGAATTTTCTTGACTATATAATTCATAAAAATATCTATTAAAGTTATTTTAATTATTTCAGATATAGATAATACTATTATGGAAGTGTCTTTTAAGCTTTTTAATATAGCATTTGAAGATAAAATATTATTATTGGTATTGATAATAATACTTTGAAAAAGAAAGATATTTTGAAGTTGTTGTTTGCAAGTAGTAGTATTTATTGAATTGTCAAGATTAAAAATTATTTATTTGTTATTTTCTATTACTAGAATTTGAATTCTTTCATGTTCTATAGGAACTTTTAATATTTCTGTAACTTGTTGAAGTTACTTTTTCTATTTATTTCAGGTCTTAAGTTGTATCTATATATGTTGTTGAAATTCATAGATCCTTGATACAATTATTTGACACAATTAATTGAGTTACTATTAAAACATATAAATAATTAAGTTATGATATAATTATTTTTAAGAATTTTGGAAATTGAATCAATATCAAATAATTTATATTACATATATAGTTATATTTAATTTACAATTGAACTTTGCTATACTTGTATATTAAATTGAATGAATTTGACTTTCTATTAGATAATTTTACAGTTGCTTATTTAATTATATTAGAAATAACTGAGGTTAAAAAGATACTTTTTTTATTTTTTGGTTAATCTTATTTATGCAAGTCTTGAAATCTTTTTTATATTTAAAGTAGATAGTATACTATCTGTTACTATTCCAAAATATTAATTGAATTAAATATTGATTTTTTTATAAGAGCTTAAGTATATTAGCTAAGTATTTGAGTTGTTTTATTTTGTTATCTCCTGGTATTACTGCTGTTAAGATTTCAGTTTTGAAGTAATCTTTTTACTAATATAATAAGAATTTTGTGATGAGTATTGTTTATTTCTTGTTGTGTAATTATGTAAAGTTCTAATATTTTTTGTAAATACTATATATATAGTTTTTTTTAAAAAAAATAATATTTTTATTTTTTTATAATCTTATTTAAAGAGCTAAAATAGATTTAAAAAATCTAAAATAATTAATATTATATAGTAATAACTTAATAAATCAATTTTTTATAGTAAAATAATTAATAAATAGTTAAATTATATAAGTAATATAGTGGTTTTAATATTAAAAATTCAAGAATCATATATAAATCTATTGAATTTTTTAATAAATATACTATAACTTATAACAGTTTAGCTATAGTATAATATTTATATTATATTATTATATTCTTGATTATAAAAGATTAATAAACAATTTTAACTTGTAATTCAATTAGAAGTAAAAAAAAAAATACAAAATACAAAATACAAAATTTTAGAATCTTTTATTTTTTACAATATTTAATAAAAACAAGAAAATTTTATAATGGATCTCAAAATAAAAAATTTTAAAGAATTTGAAAAAAATATATAAATCTTAAATAACATATAATATAAAAATATTTATATCAAAGTATCATACAAATTTTTTTAAAAAATAATTTTTGATTTATAAATAGAATTTTTTGTATGTGTAAGAGAATTATAAAATAAACAAAATTTGTTATTTTATAAAAAAACAAATTCTATTATTGCACATAAAAATAATACATAAAAATAACTTTGTTTAAAGATGAATTTTAATAAAATTTTAATAATGTATCATTAAAAAACCATCAAGTAAATTTGTTTTTTACATTCTTATATAATCTCTATTTAAATTGCTATTTTATTTTACCAATTATTCATTAAATTACAAATCAAGAAATTTATTCAAAGACTTTTTTAACTTTTAGTAATGAATCATATTTTTAATATTAAGTTTAAATTGAAAAATAGTTGTTTTCTTTAATTAATTTATTTGATTATTCAATTTTAATCTTTAATTTTATTAAAAAATTTACCTTAATCTGATTATAATTGAGATCCTGGAACTAAAGGTTTTTGAACTACTACAAAAAAAATAATTAACAGAAAATTAGTTCATTACTATGATTTTTATAAAAATTTTTTTATTCTATCTCAAGAAGCTTTCGAATATGTTTAAAAAATGGTAATTGTTTTTAGTAATTTTGATGTGAATGAAAAAATTCACGTAAACTATGTACTTTTATTCTATCGTAATATATTATAATTTCACAAAGTATATGAAAATATTGTGGTTTCTCATTGTTTTTTACGCCCCTTTTCATTAACTGCTGCCCGTAAAGATGCCATAGTTATTAAAACAGCTTCCTATTACAAGATAATAATATTTTAATTAATTATTTTATGAACATCATTTAGTTAAATAAACACATTCATGATTCGGTACCTCTGTTCTTATCGTCCTACTTCCTTGACCCGGACATGTATTTATCCATAAATCGAAAAGTGCATCTGCTTCCTCGCCAGTGCATTTTAGATCTTGATCAGCATCAATGGAAGTTTCCAATCCACCTAGCCCTCCAAATACGATTAATAAGTGACTGCAAAAAAAAATAAACTCATTAAACGTTTGCGATATAAATACGCACTAATCACCACAATTTAGAAATAAGTAACCTGAATTCTGGTAATTCACTAATTGCATCCTCCACTACTTTACCGCGCTCGGATGTTCCTATGGTCACGTCATATCCACCCTGGAAATGAAAGAATATGTTTCATTCATTTTAACATTGTAAAAAATAAAGATAATAAAAATAATAAAAAATAAAATAAATAAATATATATATATATATCCTCTCTTTACCGGATATTGACATTCGGTAAAAACCTTTGATATTGAATCTGCTATACGAACTTGATATCCCCAGTATAATCCATTTTGTCGAGGAATTTTGGGAGACACGACTTTAGCTCTGATGTGTTGACCATCTTAAAAAATAATTAGAATAATTATTTATTGAATAATGCGATTGAGTACTAAAGGTTTGGTTACCAGTTTTGTAATTGCCCATGTCAAGTGTAACGCGTATTCCTGGTTTAATTGGCCGATCAATTATTACTAACTACATACAAACAAGAAGATGAATATAAATAAAAAATGTGTACTTTAATAAATGATTGATTCTTTCGAATTTACCTTAGTAAGACCGGCATTGACTAAAGAGCCTTCGCCACTTTTCGGTTTTTTGTCAACAACGACGCCTTCTCGAAATTGACTTTTCTCATCTTGGCGAACATGATGTGGGCAATCCAAAGGATTTAGTAAACCTAACAGGTTGTTAAACGAAATTGTAACTAAATTTCATAAATGAACTCATTAATAATTTTTAATGTGCATTACCAGCATATTTAAGATCTTGATGCACGGGAAATAAATCTTTACGCAAAAATCTAAATATAGTGGCTCACGTTAATAAATTAAATGAAAAATTGGTATGTTCTTTGGTACCTACTTACTGAGGCGTTTCCAAGTACTGCAGTATTCTGGCAAAAAAAACGTTTGGATCAGATGAAATATTATCGTCACCCCTCTTCTTTGTATTGGATTCTGTTTGAACATTATTTTGATTTCGTGGCACTCCAGCTTCGTTGAAAATCACTACTTCGTCAACGTTATAAATAGCAAATGCTCGGGCAAGCTATGGGAAATTTTGTCGAGGAAAATTAATAGGACCGCAATAACTAACAGAGACGAATTAAAGCCCTACCTGACCAGCCAAGTACGTCTTTAGCTCCGTGGACTGTGCGTTTTCGATGATTGAACCTGGTAGAGCGACACTTACGGAGTACAATTTTCCTACGTCAGAACGTAAAGGAAATTTTGGTTCCGCGTATGGAATATTATTTTGCCCTGATTTCTTGTTTGCATTTGCATAAACCTGTTTATCGTATTCCTGGGAGCTTTTCCTCTTTCATGGTAAAAGAAAGAATAGATAAGCGAATGCCGATTTAATTTGGTATCGAGAAAATGGTGACCGAATACCTTTTTGCGGCGATTTTCGTGCATGACTCGAAGGTGTGAATATATTTTTTTTTTTACAATGTGTCGACTTTCATATATGGAATCGATTGACAAAAACCAGTTTAATAAATGCAATTACCAAATAAATAAATTCTTTAAGGACATTGTATAATTGCCATAAAAAATTGAATGAATTTTATTTGTTTTCTTAAAATAATACTTATATTAAACTTGAGAAAAATCAACATTAGTTGCAGATTAAACCGAAGCTTGATTTAATGAAATACTACACAGGTCTTTATTACTTTTTTGGCAAAACGCCAATTTGAAATTCTCGAACTTTACCAAAATATTTATCTCTTCATCAACCGACTGGTATTTTTTTCAGGCGGATAGATTGTACACTTATTTCAAATATACGGTGCACTAAGAAATGTATTTACTATATAAGAATCTAATTTTCTTATTCAAGTCGTAACAAACGTTTATTTATCACTTATGCTTAAGACTAAGAAGTAAGGCATCAAGGAATGAATCGTATAACATTAACGATCTATTATTAAAGTATCGATCAATAAATAAAACAAATAACATTTACTAAGCCTCAGTCTCCTCAGCTAGCGGTTTCGCGCGTGACTAGAAGAGTTCAATTTAAGATATTAATAAGAATATCGATTCACTTTAAAACAGAAAAAAAGTGGATAGTTACTTCGTCTAAATCTTGCTTCGTTTTGTCTTCCCAGGCTCTTACGTCGTCAATGGTCATTCCAAACCAACCATCGGTCCAGCAAAAAAGTTGCCTGTGAAATTTGGTAAATAATGATTGCATAGTCTAAGGGAAATAGAAAGGATGAGGCAGTGATCAAAGTAACCAGAAAACAATAACTTAATTAACTTACATTTTGGATAAATGTTTCGACCTTGTTTTGAACTCCAAACCATTTAAATTCTACAGTTACAAGTTTATAACAGGTCATAACAGGTTCAACGGATTTCTATGATAAACCAAGAAGTAATAATGATTAATAAAACTTGAAATAGACTATTCATTAACACCATTATTAATAATTTTCATTACAATCCAATTATTTTTCAGTGGGCCTCGGCCAGTCTTTTCGGAGTGATACAAAGTAGGATCTTGATCCTTTTTATAATCTTTCGGATCGATCGGATCGTTCGCAACGTCAATAATCACCACTTCGCGTTTTTCAAGCAAATCTGGAGAAATATTCAAGGCCTAGAATAAAGATTAAGACTGAATTGATTGAAGGTTCAAGAATAGATCAAAATATGTGTATCAAGCTTACGTTCTGAATTTCACCACGACTATTATCAACATGCATAGTCTCGGTAATTAATTTAAAGTTTTCCTTCATGTACCCATTCTGAAAAAGAAGGGATCCGTTGATTTACTGTTTAATTAACTCGTTCAAGTGTCATCGAACATAGAAGAATACATACGGTCAAGACTCATTTATAGAAGAATGAATTATAATAAAGTATTAGTAATTAGTCATGAATGAGTCTTCATCATTCCCAATTCATAAGGTGGCCCAAATACCTGTCGTACAATGTGGATATGCATTCCATGCCTCTTCATAAAGTTCAAGAGCACCACTGGGCGCCAACGCTCGGATAATGGCTGGAACTTTGCTGTGTACAAGTAAAATATGTGAACATATCAATCTTGCATTGCTGGATGGTCTTTATAGCTTTTGCATGAGGACCTCAAATAATTTCTAACCTGGAAAGATGATATATTTTGTATGTATATTGTCCTTTTCCTTTCTCATTTTCGTAAGGTTCATTTTTGATCACTTCTACTCCTTCGCCTCCTCCAGTCTCTTCTTTTGAAGCTTCAGCTACAGCAAACAATTGAGCAACCTGAGATTTACGGTGCCTTATTTTAAAAAGGAAGTTTTAATAAAGAGAAATGAAGAAATATGATTTCGAAAAGTTTACTTGATACTCGTCGCGTGTACAATTATTAATTACTCTGTACTCTTTTATAATCATTTTCGTTTATCAACTCTAAGTAAATTCAAACTCCCAGTCTGGACTATGTGCACATCTCATATCATAAATCCTGATCCGACGAATGAGATCGGCGAAATGATACAGCGCAGTTAATTAAGATTAAATAAAAAATGTAAGCTTTTTAACTGATTTATTAATTATTATTATAGCAAATGTAACAACATTTTTAATAATAATCTTTATTTTTTTATTATACTATTGTTATTTTTTTTTTCAATTGATGATTTAACATTTTTCCAAAAAATCATTACATCTTAGATATACACATAACCCCCTAACGCATGTCTTCCAGGAAGAAGTGCACGCACCCAGAAAACTTTGTTAAAATAATGGTCGAGTCATCGAAATGGAGAAAATTTGAAAAGCCTTCACACGAAACTGATTGGTCGGATCAAAACTCACTCTTATTATATAAGAAACAAATGTCCATATATGGAAACGCCAATTTTTTTTTTTTTTTTTTTTCTGCGCAATTTCGTTTTCATCTTGCGCGGTGATAGTTCGCGTCAAAAAATTTTTTTCTTCCAATGCTTCTTCGATGGATGACCGTCATCAAGATGAAAGGATATCGATTCAATTAAAGTGGTGGTGATATCAATTTCCGATCTTTATTAAATAAGATCAAAAGAATTCATTTTGATTATTTCGATAAAAATGATGATTTTGAATATGCGTGTAACACCGCATAATTTGGAGATCTTTTACGTATATAACTACGTAATGTGCTATTCTGGAGATTAAGGATGTAACCTGCCTGATCTTTATAAATACTAATCCAGAGACGCATTACGAGTTTACTTTTTTATGCCCAATTTGATTGCGATTTCATTGTCATAACCTCCGAGCGTCACTTCAACTCTTCATTTCTCTCGACATACCTTTCGCAATCATTTTATATCTTGAAGCGTCTTATATATAACTGTCCACATGGATCTGGAGAGCGTACAACAATTTGATGACGTCCTTACGGATCTGCTCTTGGACAAACTTTTCCTCTGGTTTAGAACTTTTAAACTGAACCCTGGCTACCGTGAGACCAATATCTCGCGTGGAAATATAATTGACCTTGTGACACGCTATGTCATAACAACCAATAAGCTAAACGAAGCCGTTCGCGAACTTTTGAGGTAGATTACTCGTTCTTCGTTCTTGTTCATCAGTTGGTGAAAACTCGACATAAATATTCATTTTCAGACATATCTTCTTATAAATCTTAAAGGTTGTGATGAGGTTAATAATAACAACGCACTTTTTTCTCTGAACAGAATTCCAACTGTCCGCGAAACTGCCGGGATAACGGAAGAAACCGAAAAAGATTTCATAATGTATTTTGTCTTTTAATTTATACCTTGATTAAAACGATAATATCACTGAGTTGCGTTACTCGTCAACAGGCATGCAAAACGTTATCTAATGATGTACCTGCCAAACGCTGGATACGAAATTGCCGAAACCAGTAGATATTTGGGTTCTTCGAAACGTGAGGCCTGTATCATAGCCACCAAACCCTGGCATATTGGCGATGAAATAAAATATTGCACTGGAACTCTTGTCCATTTAACTACTGAAGAAGAGAAAGCTCTGGAAGGAGGTCGTGACTTCTCAGTCATGTGGTCATCACGCAAAGATGCGATGTGTCTTCTCCTTGGCCCTGCCAGATTCGTGAATGTAAGTGGTTAATTTGAACGTTGAATGTTTCGTGGAGTGCCATTAACTTTTTTTTTTTTTCATCAGCACGATTGTCGACCAAATACCGAGTTCATTTCTGCCGGTCAAAACGCGATATCATTTAAATTTATCCAGGATGTGAACATTGGAGAAGAAATCACGGCATACTATGGTGATAACTATTTTGGTACCGGTAATGCGGAATGTCTTTGTGCCACTTGTGAACGGTTCGTTGAATAAAAACATATCATGATTTGATCTGCTTTTTGATAATGCTAACGTGTGTTCATTTTTTTTTTTTTTAAGCAATCAAACTGGATCATTTCGAACTGCAGGAACTGCGGAAGAAGACCCAGTAATAGAAGGACTTCGACCTTTTGTCTACGACGACACAGGAAAACTGGTTCGAAGAAGTTTACGCAGAAATTGTATGTTGAATTGTGTTTCCGGTTATAATTTTAAATCCTCGGTTTTTACAATATATCTTCTTTCGACCAGTGGCTACGAACAGCTTCAGATCAAGGCCCCTGAGGAAATCTGGAAAGTCCAAAAAACAGCCAACGATCGAGATATCGAATACTGCGATTGAAGGCGAATGCAGCACCCATTCTTCAAGTGAAGATCCAATGGCAATTGATATTGATGAGCAAGAAGATAACGCAGACGATCAAGCTACCTCCATATTGTCTGATTATGCACCCTCTCATTCGTCTTATGCGGATGATTGCGCCGCTTCATCAAATCTTTCGATACCCGACGAAAACGCCTCCACAACTGAGTTTAACGCGGTTGACCATACTGATTCAATGTCCGACGATCCTGACG